CCTCAGACTGCTGCTGGCCGCTTCAGACCTGGCTGACCTGGCCACTTCACACCTGGCTGACCTGGCCATCTCAGACCTGGCCGACCTGGCCGCCTCAGACCTGGCTGACCTGGCCACCTCAGACCTGGCTGACCTGGCCATCTCAGACCTGGCTGATCTGGCTGCCTCAGACCTGGCTGACCTGGCCACCTCAGACCTGGCTGATCTGGCCGCCGCAGACCTGGCCGACCTGGCCACCTCAGACCTGGCTGACCTGGCCATCTCGACCTGGCCGACCTGGCCGCCTCAGACCTGGCTGACCTGGCCACCTCAGACCTGGCTGACCTGGCCATCTCAGACCTGGCTGATCTGGCTGCCTCAGACCTGGCTGACCTGGCCACCTCAGACCTGGCTGATCTGGCCGCCGCAGACCTGGCCGACCTGGCCACCTCAGACCTGGCTGACCTGGCCACCTCAGACCTGGCTGACCTGGCCACCTCAGACCTGGCTGACCTGGCCACCTCAGACCTGGCTGATCTGGCCGCCTCAGACAATCCGAAGCAGCCGGGCCGCCCGCTTAGTTTACGGCGTTGTTTTCCGGACGCGTAACTCTGCTCATTAGAGCGGACGGGTGCCTGATTTACGCGTCGTTCGGTGCGGCGGCGGGCGGCGTCGTTAGAGCCGGGTCTTCCGCGACGCTGCGCGCGCTCCGCCAGCGCTGAGACGGCTCGCACCGCACGCGCAGGTGAGGGGACCGACCGACCGCGGTCGGGAGCCGCGCTGTTCCGCGGAAGCCGACTTTTTGTCCGGCTCCCCACGTCTGACGGCGTTTCGCTCGTTTGTGTTTTTGTTCGTCGCCGGGCTGGGCTTTCGCCGCGCGTCGTGTCGGCGGTGTGTCCTGCCTGTTTTTTTCCTTGCTCCCAGCCGGGCACCAGTCCGTGGAGCATCAGCGAGCGCCTGACTCGGCCCACCGCCGTCTTTTCAATTGGACGCTTTCTGTGACCTACATTGGCGGACAGCGTGTATTTCATCGCCTCCTCTTACAGCCCTTTCACGCGTCCTCTCAATAGCCGCACGAATGGAGGCGATTAATTTCGGCTCGGCGTAATGCGACGCGTTTTCGGTGGAGGTCTGACCGGCGCTGCGCCGCTCGGACGCTGATCGGGGTCGCCGACTGCCGCGCGGAGAGCGAGCGAGAGAGACGTCCGTGGCGCGCGAGGCAGTCGTGGCCCGGCGCGCGCCAGCTGTCTCGGCTCGCAATTCTGACCGCCTGGTGCGTGCGCCCCCCCCCCCCCCCGCCCGTCCTCCTCTCCAAGGACATTGGCGATGAATGGTTGGCGATAGCGCCGCGTCTCTCGCCCGCCCTTTAACTCCCACCACACCTTGTGGGCGGCATTTTGGGCCCCATCTCCCTGTTCAGCTAATCCTCTCTTGTCCCATTTTTGTCTGCTTGTTTAAGGCTGTCCCGTCCTGTTTACATTATCTCGCGGTAGATCCATTCATGCCGTTTTACAGCTCAGTTCACGTCCGTAAACGTGTGGAGGTGTAGTCTTGGTATGCAGTGAATAAGGAAACGTTGGCTGGCCAGCCTTGTCAAGCTGAGTACAAGGACAACGGCTGCTTGGTTGTTGGAAGGCTGGGCGTCGCTGCGTATAGCTCCGTGACGCTACTGATCTCGGAGGAGCCGTGACGCTGCTGGAGCTCGTCACGGCTCGTCATGGCACACTTGGTTCGCTCGGCCGGTCGGCAACGCCGCAAAGGTGGGCAGCCGGCGTGAAGGCCGGACAAGTTAAAGCATGCGGGGGTCATGATCACACCACCTCCGTTGGGTTGGTCACCAGCCATGGTCCGACTGTGGGCAGTTTGCAAGGCAAAGGTCAGCAGCCCTGACTCATGCTGATAAAACAGCCGGGAGCCTTTCCGAGTCCGTTGGTGGTAATGGACGCCATCACGACAGAGATGATTCACTGGAGTGGACCGCAGTTAGAGTTTGGTAGAGGTGCCTCACTCAATAAATAACGACTTTCTTAACTAAGCTTTTTCAAGAGCTATTCGTCTGGGTAGGACCGGTGCGACGGGTGATGGCTATTAAAAGCCTCAGCTTCAGTTAGTATAATGAGGGGAAGGAAAGCTTCTTTAAAACGAAATTAATCAGAACGGCACAGATTTAACTCATCTCAAGCTGAGTGGCTTCTGACAGTCCATAATTCTTTCGCTCCATAATGAGACGTGATAGGACGGAAATATGTTGGCAGCGGTTGGTAGATATCTTTCTGTTAGAGCCACACTAGGTTCGCTGTAGCACTAGGAGTATCATCAGTCAGCTATCTCGCGCAGTGCTTTCAACATGCGCTGTGCACGAGGCGGCTTCCCTTTGCGTATGAGTACATGGAGCTCGCGATGATAGAGGAATATCCGTGTTAATGGGCGTGCACTTCTGTGGAGAGAGCCGCCCGGCAGGGAGCGCCGGCCGCCGCCCGAGATGCCGTGCGGGCCTGACTGAGGGGGACCGATGTCGTCGGTTCATTGCCTCCGGTGCCGTGCGAGCCTCACTGTACGTGGGCTGGCGGCTGTTTGTCTTCGCTCATTGTTATCACGCGCCGCTGTCGTGATATTTCGGTCGCGGTCAATTACCCGCGCTGTGCCGGGCTCGGCTTTTTCACTATCAAAACAGAGGGCCGCCGCGGCGGTGCGCCCGCAGGAGCGGTGCCGACAGGCTGCTGCGGCCGCCGTTTTTACCATGGCCGGCCGGCCGGCTCCGGCGACCGGCACAGACCGGCGGTGTGCACGGCACGATCCTCCGCTTTGTACGGAGTGAGGGGCTGAGCCTCCAGTCCGCGCACAGTCGACCTCCAGCTGGCGTGGAGTGCATCCGTGGCCTGCACGAGGCCAGGCGCGAGCCTCTGCGCACCGAATAGACCTCTAGCCCATGCGTGGCTCACCGGCTGAACCTGCGCTTTGGGCGGGCTGGCTCGGCCGGGCCCCTAGTCCGGTGCGGCCTTGTCGGCTGTGGCGCCCTGGCTGACGGAGGAGCGGTCCAGTTCCGTTTATCAGGAGATTATGGATGGCGTGAAACGCCGGGTGGTCTCTCCTATCAAACCATCTCGCTGGCGATAGGCGGCCGCAGGCGAGCACTGCGGCTGTGCCATCAGGTGGCGGTGCTGTAGGGTGTGGCCTTCGCTGGCGGGTGAAACTGGGGCGTCGCGGACCCAGTGCGCCACCGCCTGCGAACCCCATGTCACGGGGCAATGCTGATGTGGAGAGCACTGCCGCGCCAACTGTTACACTCGTCACCCTATGGCCATTGCCAAACCCCTGCCGCATTGTATCGTACCCGCTGCCTTGTTTTCCCTGTGGTTACACTTTGGGGAAAAGCCCTATGCTGGATTTGCAGTAATGGCAGTATTGCTGCAAGGTCGAAAGTTTCGAGGTTGTCCGCAGGCATTTGACGTTCCTTCCGTGTGCCGCTGCCACGGTAGCGTTTAATTAAATCCCCTCACCGCCTTTAATCGTGCTGTTTTCAAACTGCTTGCCGAGCGCCGCCACTTACCGCTGACGTCATGTAATCGGGGAGGGGTCGGCCCGACCTCCCCCTCCCAGCCAACTCACACTTGGGAGCAAACACCACCTGGCCGGCGCACAACACCCCCGTTGTGCCCCTCCACTCTCCTTCCCTCCTCGCCCACGGTCCGGGGGCGGGCCATGGGTTACGACTAGTAGCCCGGGGGGAGGGGGGAGGGGGGCTCACCTCAGAGCAAAGCTGGAGCTTGGCCTGCTAGTCTGGGCCAGAGCCGATGGAAAACAAAGCTTGCTCCCGCTGAATAGTCTGGGCTAGCAGTCAACATCAAAACTTACACCAGTTACCATCAAAACTTGGAAATAATCATGTCCATTTCTTAAATCCGACATTGGGGAGAATGTAGTAACATTTGCAAGGCAATAGCATAGGCCACCTCCCTACCACTTACTTCACCCAGCTTATGAAGTTCCTATTTGTTATATCCTATTCTGGCTAATGTTGAGCACCGACGATTCACGTTGTGTTTGAATAGTAATTTTCAACACGGAGCGGAGGGCTAAGAGGGTGGAGTTCGCTCATTAGTTGCCTGGTCCATTGGCAGAGCGTTTGTTGCTGCCGTCGTTCTGCTTACGCTCCACCGCTATCAGCTGTCGTGACTGAAAAACTTGTCTTTCAGTGAACCATTCTTCCCGAGCCAGAGATAACAAATGGCCTGATTTCATTATCGATACCGCAGCTTTTTGCGACCAAATAAACCTCGGAATGCATAGCATCCAGGCGTTCTCGTCATTAGCATTTTGTGAACTAAGACAGCTGGCTCGATTGCCGGCCATTTGGCATTAATAAGTTGGTCCGGAACACGCGAAATCCCGTCTTTCCAGCACCTGACAATGCTATAAAGGAAGTCTGTGGGAGATGAGTGGTACTCCGTGGCAACAGCAGTTTACTGTCTGGCTATGTGAACAGTGTTGGCCTTGGGCGGAACTGATGCGCCAGGCGCTGGTCACCGGCGGATCGGCTATGTGAAGAGGATTGAACTGCCAGCATTGCCCCCGCCCCTGCGGAAGAAAACTGGCGGCGCGGTTGGGCTGTCTCTCACATGCCGAGTCAGTCCCTTTCCTGCTGGTCCCCTGCCTCCGCCCCTGCCATACCGGCCGCATCGTCCCTCAGATACCGAGGCAGTCCCCTCTCTGAGAGGTCCCTTGCCTCCGCCCTTGCCATTCAGGCCGTATCTTCTCTCAGATACCGAGTCAGTCTCCTCCCCGAGAGGTCCCCTGCCTCCGCCCCTGCCATACCGGGCGTATCTTTTCTCAGATAACCGAGTCAGTCCCCTCCCTGGCGGGTCCTCCGCCTCCGCCTTATCTTGCTGGCGACACCACCTCCTGGTTGCCCCCTCCCCCGCCTGGCGCCCTGGCTCCGCCGCTGCCGTCCAGACCGGCCGGGCCGGGCCGGGCCGGGCCGTCGCTCAGGTGGGGCGTCAGTCGCGCCACCGCCGCCGCCACGTGACGACCTGTGCTCGATCGCCGCCGCGTGCACCTGCTCCCGTGATAAGTGCTGACCGCCGGCTGGTAATTGGTGCCGTGTTCCACCGCCGGCTGGTAGCCACCAGAGGTGAGTCGCAGCTGCGTGTACCGGCCAGTCATTACCATCGGCGGGGTGCGGGTGCACGACCGTCTCCCCGTGTACCCGCTGTCACCTACCCGCCGGCCGGGCGGCGGCGCGGAGGCGCTGGTGGCCAGACCATCGGGGCCGGAGCGTGTTTGTCAGACAAGCGGTGCCGACACGCCGGTTGAGCGGCGAAACCATCGCGATGGCGATGCTGGCGAGGCTGTGGGCGGCAGTCCGTCGATGACGCTCCGGTCGTCAGGTCAGGGGCCGGTCGGCACCAGTCGGCGAGCTGTGCGGTCCATCCGTCAGCGTCCGGGAGTGGCGGTCAGATGGCGCCTGTCCGCGCCGCCGCCGCGCTCCGACGCGGCTGCATCTGCCGACGGACGGTTGCAGCCGCCACCGCCGACGGGTGCCGTCCCCGCTGTCTGCGGCCGCGCCGCAAGACAGGTCGACGCCTGCAGCCGACGCCTCGGCGCGGAGCATGACTCGTCCGCCGCTAGCCGGCCCCCAGCCACCGGGGGGCCGCCTCGGCGGCCGACCGGCGCCGAGGGCTGAGGGACGGCGGTCCTGCGGCGCCACAGCGGCCGGGACGAGTCGGGAGGGGTCCCGCCGCAGCGCGCCATGACACGCCGGAACCGGCCCTCGGCATCCCCTCCCCCTGTCCCGGCCGGAGGGGTCGCTGGCCCCACTCCCCTTCCCTCGCGGCGCCGCGCGAACCAATCGATATGCGTCACGCGGTGCTAATCCTCTGCGTCCCACCGGCGGTGCGTTCGAGTCTCCGGTGTTACCATGCTGTGGCGGCGTTCGGGTTCCCGTCCGGGATGGTACAGACACATGGCGGCACAAGGCGTTCCTCGAACGCGACAGACACGCCACCCGCCGGCGCGAAAGGGGCGTAGACGCCCGTGTGCAGTATCGGCACTCTGCACGTGCTCATTAGGGGCCATTCTGCGACGGGAGCAATTTGCCTTTCCCGCGTTCGGCCCGCTCTTATCCTATTTAAGCAGCGAGCGCGGTAATTAGGCTGCGTGCCTCGTGGGACATGGTCCATTACACGCCCGGGACGGGGATGATTGCGTGTTTTGCATGTAGCGCCGTGTAGAACAGCGAGGGCTGCGCGGTGACTGCGCCGATCCTGTGATCGATCACAAGGCGGTGTCAGATGCGCCGTGAAAACGGCAGGCCCTGCTCGTGAAATCGGCCGCCGCCGTCCGGCCCTGACCCCTGACCCCAGCGGCGGCTCGGGTCAGAGGTGAGAGGCGGCGCGTGGCGCCACCGGCGCCATCGCGGCACGTGGCGCCATGGCACGGACGTGACGCGGCGTCGGTGGCCGGACCGTGTCGCTGTCTGTCGCGGCGCCGTGTCGCCGCGTGTCGCGTGCGCCACCGCCCGGGCCAGGGCCGGCCGGCGCGCGGCCGAGCGACAACAATGCTCGGCGCGCATTGTGCACGGAGCGCTGTGGGGCCGCGGTGGGGCCGGCGGGCAGGGCCCGGCCGTCACAACAGCGGCCACCGTCCGGAGGCCATTCGCGAGCGGTGCGATGCGTCGCAGAGGGGCGCGCCGGCCAGCAGGGCGCGGGGCCGACTCCGGCTAGCCTCCCTCCACGTGGGAAGGACTGGAGTAGGTCCGACCGCCACTTCACAAGGGACAGAGGGGGGGGGGGGGGGACCAGCTCACAAACAGCTGGCGCCGCGCTGTCAGCGCTAATTGGCATCTTGGGGACCGTTCACGACTGCGCTTCTGTTGTCTGGATTGCGAAGTAGACTGAGCCATGCATAATTAGGACACTAAGAACATTTAATGGAGGAAAAGGCACACCATGCACTGGAATGTTATTTGTGCTGCAAATATGGTTGTAGTGATTGGAAAGCTGTTACATATGTTCACATCAGATTCTTGGAAACAATGAACATCTCTCAGCATTTTTACGCATTCTGAGACGTTTTAGGTTGAAGAGAACTGCACCATGGCTCCCAAAAAATATGCGCTGTAACGCACTGGGCATAGTTTCAGCTCATTATAAATATTCGGAGAGCAGAAAAAGGCACTGGTAAACGTACCTAAACTAAAAACTAGTCATATGCATAAGCTTGCAGGCCGGTCTTTACAAATACACCAACAGGTGTATGTGAGTAAGGACTAGTCGTATACAAATACGTGCCATAATTGGATCGCATGTCATGCAGTACAAGTCATGCGACACGACATCTCGACGGAGTCTGCGCCACAACGGCGAAGCGACAGGAATGCATAAACGTTCGTAATGCATTTGTACCCAAGCAGCGTTTGTAGGCGTTCAGTCTAATTTCGCGGGGATGGAGAGTGATTTCCGGATTCTCCTGATCACGTGATTGATGACCACCATGACCACCACGCTGCACAACACAGCACCGGCCAGATCCGGATATAACAGGACATAACCGGACAGCGCCACAGCCACGACTGGAGGCGCCGACGGAGCCGCCGCGGCCCCCTCCAGGCGGTACCTGCTGCCGAGTGGCACCTACCCCTCCCCCTCCCCCGTGCCGCGGCTGGCCGTGTCAGCGCCGGTTTTTGCAGGCGGCCGGCGGCATCGCCCGCTCGCGCCGGCGTTGATGACGCGTCCAATTATTGCATCAGGCCGACTCCGTCAGTTGGCAGTGACACGCCGGCGCCGGTAACACGCCTGGCCTTGGGCGTATCGGCCCGCTGATCTGGCAGCGTTTAGGCCGCCCAAAAATCCGGCCGCTCCAGCTTTTGTGCCGAGCGGGCGACGGAAAAATGTCGGCGTCGTTGCTGTGTGCGGGGTGATCGGACCGGTGGGCGTGCGCTTCCGGCGGCGCCGGGGTCACGCCCCGCCCGGCGGTCGGCCGGCGGCGGGCGCGCCACAGGTCGAGGTGTGACTGTCTTCGGGTAGGGGCGACGCCACCCACGGCGGCCAGCCCCGCAGTGGCAGCCCCGGCGTCGTGAGGACCAGCTCAGCGGTGTCGCTCAGCCGGTGTCGGCGCGGAGCCAATGGGACACCGGTGGACCCCACCAACGGACATCCAACCCACCAACGGACCACCAATAGTGCCCCACATCAGCGTACAGCCAGCTCTGTCTCCAGACGCCTCCCCCCCCCCCCCCCCGAAGAATTAAATCCATAGCTACTATCGCGAAATTAACTCGCACTCTGCACCTTAATGTGCGTCAGGCGCCCGCGTGTATCGGCGAGCACTTGAGGCACGGCTGGGTTGTGGGCCTGCGGCGCCCGCGCCCGGCCGGCCACGGGGCCCGGCCCGCCCGCCGGCGGCGACTGACGCGACGCATTCCTGCGGCCGGTGCACGCCGCCTCGGTGGAGCGGCGCCGCTCCGGACCGGACCTGACACGGCACGGGCGGCGCCGACCCGGCCGACCCCGGCGCCGCCACCGACCGACCCGGCTCGGCCCGTCCCGGCCCGCCCCGGCCCGTCCCGGCCGACCCGCCGCAGGCGATGGCAGCCGTGCCTCCTGACCTGGCACGGGTCAGCAGCTGGCGCTGCCGTCTGAACACGTGTCTGGAGCCAAGCCGTATGATCTCTCTCACCTCCGACTGCACCAGCTGACCCAGCGGGCTGACCGGCGGCAGCCGAGCAGCACCGACAACCGGAGCGGGCTCAGATTGATTCGGCGCGTGTCTGAAGCCGATCCAACTGACCTGGCCGGGGGCGAGACCCGATGCCTGACCTATGACCCGAACGGACCGCGCCGACCGGTCAGACCCGACAGCTGCGGACCGGACGTGCCCCCCCCCCCCCCCTCCGCTTGGCGTGACCGTCGCTGCACCGGAGCGGCCGGTACCAATGTGGTCCAGCACGACTGACTCAGCACGCGCCTGACGCGCTTCCCCCCCCCTCGCCCTCCCCCGCCCCCCGGAGCCGGAGCTGGAGATGATGACGAACTGGAGGCCGCTCGGCTCGGCTCGGCTCGGCTCGGCTCGGCTCAGCTCGAGCCCGGCTCGGCTCGGCTCGGCTCGGGTCGGGTCGGGTTAGTACAAACCCGCCCGGGTCCCTCCCGCCGCGTGGGGCCTTATTCCGCGCCGCCGTCGGTCTCGTCTCGTCTGACCGGTCCCGTCCATGGCTGTCACGAAAGCAGACAGGTCGCGCGCGTAAAACGCCCAGCTGCTGACAGCTGTTCCGGCGCTGTCACTCAGGGCCGCCCCGCTCCGTCCAACGGATGCCGTCCTGATTCAGCGGGGGCCGAGCTCAGAACCGATGAAAGCACCGACACCTGTTCCCCGTGATGGCAACGGTCGCTAACGGTCCTGATTCCACGGACACCAGGCGTGCATGCATGTTACAAGCTCACATGTGCCGTGGTTGGGTTTGATGTTCAGTTATGATCGGTACGCCTCCGCGAAATCAGTATGAAGTGACGCCTGCTTAGAAGCACCGCGGACAAGAAAGTTCATGGGTAATGGCCATCGATCACTGCTTGGGGTGTATATGTGATGGTAAATGTAATGGACAAGCGTACGCTGTACACGATCCTTTGATAGCTGAAAAATGACTGCTTTTGCGTATCTGTGTGACGTAAGTGCGATCAGGGCTCTTCAGCTGTCGTGGCCGCAGACCGTCAGGACGCGCAATGTCTCCCCACAGGTACCGATTTCTTATTTGTGGCACGCTTCTTGGATTTCCTTAATTTCAAGTTTTTAGAACGAAAACGTGACGCTCATATTTGGCGAAACTTGGATATCAAGATTAGCATTTTAATCTATGGGTTCGCAGAACACCAGATAACGATGCCGAGTTTCATAATCGCTTCTTTTTATCGGTCTCACCGGGCGTAAAAATACGGTCAGAAGCAAATGGCAGTTCAGTAACCGTGTCACGCTAGCTTCTTTGTTGCTCAGCTACTCACACGGATCCTCAGACACACCCCCGGTAGACAAGAAAGGACCCTGCATGTAGACGGCTGCCACGCGCATGGTCTGGAAGTCTTTGTCACTAATCGCTTCATTATTCACTTCCCTGCTGGCCGTTTGCCATGAGGGCAGCTG